GGGGGGCAGGAGCGGCGGACAGGAGCGACGGGTGCCGCTGGGTGTGCCCCTTCTCACACTTCGGACGCAGGCAGTTCGTGCCCGACCACGTGTAGAAGCACTCGGTGTCGGGTGTGTGCCAGGCGGCGACGGTCTGCGCGAACGCGGTGGCGGCCGCCGTTTGAGCGGACGGGGTCGGGGCAGCGGGGGTGCGAGCGGGTTGACCCTGGGAAGCGGCCTTGCGCTTGGTGCCCGTGGTGGCCGCTTTCGGCTGCTGCTGCTGCTGCTGCTGCTGCTGCTGGCGTGCTAGGCCCCCCTGCATGAGGCCCACCATCGAGTGGGCCGAACCCTCCGCGATCAGGAATAGTGTCCTCTTAAACTGCGGTACCTGGATGGCCCCCACCGTGTTGGGGGGCGGGGGGGCGAGAGTGTTGCTCTGCCGAAGCGACCTGGCCTCGGTGGTCACGCGGTTGATGAAGTCGGCCCAGTCCGAGTTAGCGTCTTGCCTAAAGCGAGGGAAGACTTCAATTCCGCACAGTGGTGCGAAATGTAGCGGCGGAGGTCCTCCGACATCCGCTGGAGTTCCATGAAGAACAGACCAACTCGGTCGCGTCCTGCTTGCGAGGCGCCCTGCATGTTGTCCTCGATGAAGAGTTTCAGGACGGAGACGAAAACGTCGAAATGCACGTCGAACGTGCGGGTCACCGCCGCGACGCCCGCGGGCCGCGGCGGCGAAAACGCCGCGATGTCGACGGAGCCGAGAGTAAGCAGCGAGTGCAACCCCGGATGCGGATGGGCCACCTATCGTATTATTAGGTCGAAGTCGCTCGCCGTCATGAGCACCGGTGAGAAGGTAGCACCTCGCAGCAGGAACAAGACCGCTTGGCCGTCTTTTTCCCACGTGCGACCCTCCAGCTTTTGAGCCTCTTTGAACCGGTGGGTATTGTAGACGGGTGCCGCCCCTAGGATGCCCGCGAATTGTTGGTATCCCTGGGGCGCAGCTGACGAGGGCTGGTAGTACTGCTGGTGGGTGTAGGGCTGGAGCTGTTGATGCTGGTACTGCTGTTGTTGCAGCGGTTGCTGCTGCTGCTGCTGCTGCCGTTCGCGATCGCTGGTTGCCCGTTGCTGCTATCCATCCTAAAATCGATCAACTCCTAGATGGCACTTCGTGTTATGCTGCTCCTCAGAGCTGCCATCTCTGCCAGCCCTCTTCTCTCAAGTTCGCGCTAGCTTGCCTCTCGCCCAGCGAGAGGATAAAAACTTTCTGACACCCGTGCAGCGTCTTTTTCTTTTTCCTTCGAGTCCCGTTTTTCCGAATTCCAACCCGCTTCCACAAACCACAGATTCAAATACTTACAGAATCTTCACGTTTGGACCTTTGAGCGTGATGGGCGTGACGCATGCTTGATGCCGTGACAGAGATACGAGCGCAAGCGCGCCCCCGAAGTATACAACACGTTTCCCAACACGTTTCCCAACACGTTTTCTACCCATCCACGGCCTGTCATGACCGAGCTGCTCTAAACTCCCAACACACAGAACGGAGCCACCCGAATTATCGATCACGCTTAGCGTATAACAGGTCGTCCACAAGATTCGCGGTCGAGCTTATTTTAGGAGCATCGCTTTGCGGCGATCAGGAGCAGGATCAAGATGGCCGAACCCAGGCCGTGAGGCGTGAGAGCGACGACGCCAACCGAACAGACCAAGCAGCAGCTGAGGAGGCTCGGATCGAGGAGATGGTGGACCAGATGCTAGCAGCTAGGCTAGCCGCGATCGAGGTACGACAACAAGACGAGTAGCGACGTACAGATGACATCCGGAGCGGGAACGAGCAAGAAGGGGCACATACACTGCAACACGCCGGGAGCCCATCGTCCAACCCCTCCACCGACAACATCGCCAATGCGATCGCCAACGCCGTGACTGGCCGTCTCCAGACCACATCCGGGGACTCCGGTGGAGTACCGCAAGAAGGGACTTTTCGCATGACTGAGACTATTAATAGACGATTACAGCCTTGGGATGGCACTTTCAAACCAAGGGAGGATGAGCAGGCTAAACTCTTGATTTTCAAGTCGAACATGCTTGCAATATTTGCGCAGGAAGGTGTGCATGAGATCATGATGAGTGACGAGGACATTCATGCTGGAAAAGAAGGAGTAGATATGGCTGGGCTGAACATTGCGAGCAGAAGGTGAACAAGGCAATAGCGGGGCGGAACTTGCTCATCACAACGGTGACTTACTTGCCAATCTTGACCAAAATCATCTCAGATGGTAGCCCGAGTAGAGGATTGAAAATCTTCCTCGAGTACTACGGGCCCCGAGCTCGTGAAGAAAAGACACGCCTTTCATCTGAGTATCAAGGCATTAGGATGAAGAAATTAGAGACTCATCAAGAATACTTCGGAAGGTTTACTGTTTTGCGCAATATAATAGCCTCGTACGGTGTCACGTTTCCGATGATGATGCTTACAGCCACGTGGTTTTCAACCTGTTGTCTGATTATGATGTTGAGAGGAGGATGTTGGCCAATACGGACGTATTGATTCGCCAGATGATAGAGAGGACTGTGAGGAGTACCGATGCGGATCGGGCGCGCGCCCGGGAGGAGGCGCAGAAGAGTGGCGCGGGGCACGCTTTCGTCGCTTCCGGTGCACCCCGGGGCGACGGAGGTGTCCAGAATGGGTCGAGTGGGAACGGCGGCGGACACGACGGTAAAGGCGGCGGTCGGAGCAGGAGCACCGGAGCCAGAGGAGACAAGCGCTGCGAGGTTCATCCGTGAGCGTTTCACGCCAATGCGAAGTGCGATGCTCAGAGGAAGTTTCGAGAGCGGAAGCCGCAGCAGCAGCAGCATCAGTGGCCCCAGCAGCAACTGCAGCCCCAGCAGCAACAGCAGCAGCCGCAGCCTCAACATCAGCCGTAGCAGCAGCAGCAGCAAGGCGGCCGCGGTGGGGGTGGCTGGGGTGGTAGACCTCAGCACGGACCCCACGGCGGCCACAGAGCGCAGCAGCGGTATGTCCCCCTCGCCCGCAGCAGCAGCACTGGCGACCCCCGCACGGGCATGCAAACGTTTTGCACCAGCAGTGTAGTGCCACGCCCTACGGGGGGCCCGTGAATGGTAGCGAGTATGGGAGTTGGGAGTAGCAGCAGCCACCGTACCAGCAGCCTCCGCCTGACTACACCCAGCAGCAGCCGTACGACCCGCCGAACTACCAGCAGCAGCAGCCACCGCCGCAGCCTCTGCCTCCGCCGACCTTCCAGCAGCAGCAGACGTCGCAGCAGCAGCAGCACTCCACCCATGCCCCGCCCTACTCATCTCCTCCCGGAGCCGCAGCACCGTCCCCCGGCTCCCTTCACTCCTTATTGGCACGTTTTGTGCCTGCAGGCAAGATCGTACCAAGTGGTGTGGTAGCGAGTAGGGAGCGAGAGAGTGGCACAGGATTTGCTTTGGCTACACAAAACCTGCATTCGCATTTTGGTATAGAGAGATTTTGGGCCGACAGCGGCGCGACCAACACGTTTGTTAGCAGCAGCCATCAAATGTTCGACTTGAGGTTAGGACCGCCCGGTGAGGAGCACATAAAAGTAGGTAACGGTGCCGACTTGCGCGTGCAGTGTGCCGGGAAGGTAAACATGGCGTTTCGCATGCCCGGCCCTTCGGGCGAGACCGATTTTTGCGTGCAGATGTTGGACGTGTACGTCGTCCCCGGCATCACATTCAACCTGTTTTCCCTGCACCATTGACAGGGTAGGCAGAAAATTACGTTGGATGAAAATGGCGTGCACCTTTTTTAATGGCCGGCTTTCCTTTGCATTCTCTGACGTAGGATGTTCCCTTTGGGCCACTCGCTTGCCTCCGGAGTATAATGGTAGTGCTGTGACATCTAGCCCCGATGCCCCTCCCCGTGTGTCTGCACAAATCTCCCCGCCTAGCATTGGCACAGGCCTTGTCGCGGCAATCCCCCCTTTCCCACAGATTGCAGGAGCGGGCACAGCTTCGAGTGCGAGTTCGAGTGCGAGTACACGATTCCAGTCCGCCGCTACGGCCGGCGTTGCACCTGCGAGTTCCGGCTTCCAGTCCGTCGCAACGGCCGGCGTTGTAGCTTCGACTCCTGGCTTCCAGCCCACCGGATCCGACGGTGTACTACCTTCCAGTCCCAGCTTCACCACCACCGCTTCCGGTGTAGTACGACCGCATTGTGCTGTTCAGCCCGTTGACGTAGACGTAGTCCCCACGACGATCCCCGACTTTCAGCCTGTCATCAGGGCCGCTGTAGAATCGTCTGAGCTTGTGTCTCCCCCTGCAGTAGGCACGATCGATTTTCGCGAGATCGATATCAACCCCCTTGTTTCCCAGGACAACTTACCGATCATGGACATGAGCATGTTTCTGGATGTTGGGTTGATGGATGCCAAAGACTCTGTTCCCCCTGGTGATTTTTTTTCCGGATGCGCTTGAATTCCCTGAGTCTGCGGTGCCCCTCCCCCTTGCATTTTCTGTACAGCATGATGAGTTGCAGATGTTGAGAGGTTTCCTTGCAGAGTGCAATGAGCAGCAAGCCCCAGCCCCCCCTCCCTCTCGCATGCTTTGGCGATTGTCCCCCCCGGTGCTTCCCCATTTTCTTCGGGAAAATCCACGCCCAACATCAACATTATTTGTTCCATGCCTCCATCGGCCATGTCAACCAATTCTTAATGCGTGAAACGGCCAAGCAGCAGGGCGAACGATTAGTGGGGGAGATGCAGCCGTGTGTGGGCTGCGTGGAAGCGAAGGGTAGGGGGAGCCCGGTGCCGCGGCGTGGCCCCGCGCGGCGGTACCGTTCGGCAAAGTTCACATCGACCTCACGGACCCGTTCTCTGACGCGCTGGACAGCTCCCGGTACCTGATCATGTTCGTGGACAACGCATCGCGGTGGCAACGGGGGTACGGGATGCGGACCAAGAGCGACACCCTGAAGTTCGTGCAGCGGTTCCTCGCCGACATGAACGGCATGGGCACTCCGGGATGTTTCCGTATGGACAACGGCGGCGAGTTCACCGGCACCGCGTTCACCACGTTCCGCGACGCTGCTGGCATCCGGGGCGAGTACACCGCCCCCGACACCCCCAAGACGCGGTGGTCGAGAGCGCTATCAGGCGGGCCATGAAGGGGGGCCACGCCGCGCGACGTCACATCATTGCCATGGGCCACACCGACCTCTCCTCCATCCCCAACGTCGGCGTCAACGGACATCGCCTGTGGCTTGCGTCGGCGCTGTGGGCATCCGCCTGCTTCAACTGCTCCGCGACAAAGGCCAACAAGGGCTGGATGTCGCCGTTCGAGGCGTTCTTCGGCCGGAAGCCGCCCCTCACCGTCGTCCCTTTGTTCCAGGAGGGGATGATGCGCGTGAAGCGGCCCACCAAGGCGGACGTCCAATCCGCGCGGTGCTTATACCTGCACGGCGTCAACAATCACTCGACGTCTACCGCCGTCGTTCTTTGCGCTGACACCGGTCGCCCGGCCCTCACCAACAACGTCGTGTGGGTCAACCGCGGGGCAGGAGCCCCGGCGCCTGTGCCGGGCATCGGGGGGGGTTCTTCGGTCACCACGGCGGCCTCGCCGGCCGCCGCCGCCCCCGCCATCGAGGCCGTACACGTGCACCCCGCCTGCACCAGCGACCACCGCACCGCCGCCACCGCTTCCCCGCCGATCTTCACAGGATCCTCAGCCCCGTCGCCGATCTCCTTGGCACCATCATCAGCCCCACTGTCGACCGCAGCCACGCCGCCCCGTTCGCCCCTGGGTCTGCCGCCGCCTCCGCCGCAGCCCGCCAGCGCCGCCGCCCCCGCTCCTCTGCACCCGCCGCTTTCGAAACGAGCCGTCAAGGAGTTGGGACGAGAGGAGACGAGGGTTCACGGCCGCAAGCGCGCCGATGGAGTGCGGTTCATGGATGAGCAACAACAACCGCCGTCGCCACCAGGTGACGGCACCGCTCTCCACCACCGCCTTGGGCTGTTGGATATGATGGAAAAGGCCACCCTCATCTCCTCGCTCGCCACCCGGGAGGCCGTGGGTCAAGGACGTCGCGACCCACCGCCCCCGCCGCCGCTGGATCCGAGTCTTGGAGGCCGTGGGAGCGGGGGGGCTGTGGGAGCTGGGGGGGGGCGTGGGTTCCGGGGGGGGGCAGGAGACCGCAGATATTCGCGACAATGGCCGCCACCCGTGAGGATGTGGACGCCGCTCTTCACGCCGAGCGCCCGCCTGACATGATGCCGGACCTTCCTCACTGCCTCGCCAGCGACCTCCGCGTGCCGAAAACGTTCAAGGAGGCCATACGGTCTCAACAATCCGAGTTATGGGATGATGCAGTCGGTCGAGAGTTTTTCGGTTTGTTGGATGCAGGAACTTTTAGTTCGGTGTAGCAACCAGCAGAGAACGCCATCAATGCGGAGTGGGACTTTGACTGTAAGGCAGACGATACGGATGGCCGACGAAACTCAAGGCAAGACTTGTAGCGCGGGGAGACATGCAGAGGGCTTCGATTGATTTTGGAGAATCGTTTGCACCCACCGTATCCGTGTCTAGTATGCGGTTGTTGGCAGCATTAGCATATGAGCAGAATCTTGACTTGTCCCATTTCGATATTCCGCAGGCTTTTAGATGCGGTCTGAGCTTGATGAGGATGTTTTCATGCGCTTACCGCAGGGGTGTGGTAGGTTATCTGGCCTGATGGTGAAGCTGTGCAGGAGTCTCTATGGTTTGAAGCAGGTATCACGACATTGGCATGCGCACCTGACGAGGTGTTCGTTACTTTTTACGTTTTTTGGAGGGTCTGGCGGATGCATGTGTTGTTCGATTGATGGAGGAGGGACGTTCGATCATGATCATCGTGCAGGTGTTTGCGAATGCAGGTGTTTGCGGATGCCGACTATGCAAGCAAGGCGACAGACCCAAAACACAGAACTGAGCCACCCGCTAACTAGCGAACAGCCTGATTGATGTTGCGTGGGACAATAAAGAGAATTACCGACCAATGAACTGCCCATGAAGTGCCCGATGTGGGCGTAGCATGACCGTGCAAATCATGGGCTTCCCATGACGGGAAGTCACGCAACAGCTGCCCATCATGGATGGGCACGTGCCCATAGTGGGCCGCCCGTGAGCAGCCCATCTGGGCACTCACACATCTGCCCATCATGGGTTTTCCATGTGCTGTCCATGGGCACCCGTGGGCACCCATGGGCACCTACCTGCCCGTGGTTCGAGCCTTGGTTACCCTTTGAAAGTAGATCGTTAGGACGAGTCTAACCGATGTTGAACGTAGCAAAGGCTAGGTTCCTCACGCGAGCAAGGCTACTGTAGGTTGCCCAACCCAACCAACCCTTACCCTCACCCACGGCCAACGCACGGGCTAGTGGCCGAAAACTGGTCGAGCTTGCGGCGCAGCCGCGTGCTCGGAATGCGGAACGGGAGAGGGCGCTGGCGAGGAATCACGGCGTGGTTCGCAGCCCATGGGCGGATTCGCAAAACTGTGTACCACACATATTACACATGACACACACCTTGCATACACCCACGTACATCGCAGAGACACAAAGACATAGTGCGGCATGAGCTTCCAACCAAGAACATGCAGAAAAGCTATAGATAGGTCTATTTCTTCAAAAAAAAATTCTGCCAAAAATTCAGTTCATGTTTACAAGATGGTACGAAGTTCAGAAAAGATCATGCCGTACACACATCAATGGCGCGAACCCAATTGATGCATTGGACGAAAGTCTGTCGACAGTCTTTGTACATGTTTCGTATGCATAATCTCTTCTCCTGTGTTGCTCTTCGCATGTTGCATGTTCTTACATCGCCCCCTGCCGCGGTGCTCTATTTCACCCACTCCGGAGGGAGGTCTTGCACGTACGCTCAACTGCATCCCCACGCAATGACTGTCCGTGACCTTACATCAATCAGCCGGTGTGTGCGTGCTTGGGTTGGAAGATAATGCGCTCTCTCCCTTGACTGTTCCTGCCTCCCTTAATGTATCCGATATCCGATATCCGATATGTGAATTGATCGCTTCTCGTCCGAGTTCCGGAATAAATAATACCATGTGGAAGGGAATCTTTCCGTGCGGAGGGAATCTTTCACCACACTCCATGTCCGCATGTCGTGCATAGACTGTAGACTACAGATAGCAATGAATATTTTCTCCCAACATGTTCCTTGTTAAGTCTCCCCAGCACGACAGATGCATAGCTCGACTATCGTCCTCCATCCAGTAGTAGTCAGACACAGAGTAGTACAAGCTACCGAGCCTGCTACCCACAGGGCACATATTTCCGGACACTTTCTATACCCGCCGAGGAGACACAAATAAATGATGGTTAGAAAATAGGAAAATTAACTCTTCTGAGAGGGCGATGAATTGGTCTTGCGCGATGGTGCGGACCTCTCGTACTCTCCCTGCCGACCCCTTCGCACACTCCCATCTCCCTCCCCTTCTTCACACACCGCGGCAGCGACGGGGATACTGAGCTTGCTCTTCTTGCGCCCCGGCCAAAAGCAACACACACGTCCACTAAGCAAGCAAGGTATGCAGCGGCCAAGGGTGCCGGGTTGTGTGCAGGTAAATGTCGGAGATCATGTAAATAGACTAGACTATATATGATGCCCAACATTGGCTGGAAGATGCACGGGAGCTCATTGGATACACCAACGATATGTATGGTGAATAGCATTGTTACAATAACGTAGAGTGCACGGGGGTGAAGTTCTTCCTCATTTTCATTCGTTCCTCGCCGCCGATCTGAACGGGACGCAAGACGTCCCCGTCATCACGCGCGATAGAGGATATTGCCTGCTCTACTGCTGTATCTTGTCTTTTTGTCTGTGGCGTGCGGAATGGTACCATTTGTCTCCGTCTTTCTTGGACGTTCGTGATCCTAGCCGCTTTGTCACGCTGGAGATTTCTACTCGATCAAACAGCCGCTTCTGCGCGTGAGTGGGCCAGGCTATGTACGCCACCGCTTCTGCATTTATTCACGTTCACTTGCGTCCGTCTGTCTGTCTGTCTGAAGACGATGATAAGCGACGGCAACAAAACAACACGCAGAACGCCACAAGGAATCTCAATTCCTCGTCAACTTGCGTCGTAGTTTTTCCTCACTTGCTCCGACTTTCATCATGAAATGTCTCCCGCAGGTATCCGCCAACAACGAACGAACCCTGTAGTCTAGTGCTGCTGCTGTAGGTCTGCTTCGAAATAAATATGGGACGCACGTGTAATTTGGTGCGGCTCGCCAGCTTCGCCCTGGCTGCTGGGACTGCTTCCGGTGGATGCCCGTTCCTTTCGGGTCAGAAGGTGAGCGAGTTGATCGTGTGTCTTTTTCACAACAGCAGTAGACTAGTTAGTTGCTCGCCTCGCATTTGTCACGTTTGTTCTTTCTTGCAGCAATGGACCGGAGTTTATCATCGCCCAGCAGTGCTACTGATGAAGTGCCGCCCTGCTCCATAGAAACAAGAACCTTGAGCCAAGGCTTAAATCCTTACTCAAGTATTACTGCGGTTGCGTCAAAACGATTGAGCACTACTACACGTGCAGCAGTAAGGTATGTGTCTGTCTTACCTGCGCCTCATCCGTTTCTTGCTACAATAGTCTATTGTTTCAAGCAAACAACCCAAGAATCTGAGAATCTGGGTGATTTGATCACTTGCTGCGTTCGTCTTCTTCCGTCACCGACACAGCAAGGAGCAGTAAGCAGCAGAGATGCACAACAACTCCCAACCGGATGGCGCTACGAACACACGTACCGCAGCTCCCCACGACCTCATCACATAGAACGAACGCCCGAATAAATAGTCGTATTTTCGCAGCAGGAGTCTTCATGCAGACGCATGTAGGGTATGACAAGTGTTGACCGTGCTGCCTGACGCTGTGCGGGCAAAAGATCGGCCCTGCATAAAAATAAGAGATGAACGACGTGATGCAACATTTTTTTTTTTTGCCTTCCGACAATTAATTGCAGATGTACCTCAGAAAACTTTCACTTAATGTCTCATACTCCACATGAATATTAAACTAATACGAAGCAACAACATATGTGGGACTTATTTCTACTGTCACATCGTAACAATATCTCCTCTTCAATTTGAAATATAACCAATGACAATCCACATGGTATCCTACATGCGTTCGTAAGCTTGCTAGAATACTCCTGCGTTGGTGTCCGCTTGTAAAAGCTGAAATCCTACAAATGCTTTGATCCATGCTACATCTGTTGGTACATACATCCTGTGAGTTTTTGTTGTAGAATGGAACCGACATTGTTGACGAAAACCCAAGTCTTCAAAATAACGGAACAAAGGTACCAATTCTTGAAATGAAAAAATATCTTCCAAAAGAAATTATATACTTTTTGTGCTGGAGATCGAAAGCCTTCAAACTGTTTTATACGTGGTATGACATCAAATAAAAGTTTAGTCTGTGTAAAAAAGCATACATGCTTGATCCCCGAAGAGTAATTTTACCCCCCTACGAGCAATGTCGGTCCAGGTGGGCGTTTTTTTCTATTTGCAGTGCCCAGAATGGGGTACACCCGGTCCAACCACGGCCATAGTCGGGTACCGCTACAAGATGCTGCTGGGAGCGGCCGCATGACGCCATCTGATTGGCCGACGCCCGCCTGTCCCCGACCTCGACCGTCTTTCCACCGGGTGATCTCGGCTACTCACGCCCCGGAGGGTTACCCGGTCATGTTTCCCCTACCCGAATATGGCCGGGCTGTTCGGTCAAAACTCATGCACCAACAATCACGTGTCGGATGCACACCGCTCGCAGCTCGTTTGTCGCCAATTAGAAAGCTGCGGAGGGCAGAGAGTGTGTCTGTGTCTTTTTATGCGTCTCGCGTGTGGAATCTCACGAGTGAGGTATCATGCAGCTCTTCTCGATCATTTGCACCGACTGCCTGCCGTTTCCCCCAAGCGAGAGTGCCACCCCCGGCGGTGAGTCCGCCCCCATTCGCCGTCGGAACGGAACGTCCGAATTCGAGGGCAGGGCATTGCGTTGCTGACGTGTGCTTGTGTGCATGGGTTTTGGCCGAACAGCCCGGCCATGTTCGGGTAGGGAAAACAAAAACCGGGTACCCCTCCGGGGCGTGAGTAGCCGAGATCACCCGGTGGAAAGACGGTCGAGGTCGGGTAGGGGCGGGCGTCGGCCAATCAGATGGCGTCATGCGACCGCTCCCAGCAGCATCTTGTAGCGGTACCCGACTATGGCCTTGGTTGGACCGGGTGCACGTGATCTTGACACTCTATTTTTCCCTTCTTTCTGGTACAATTCAAGAGCACCCCCTCCCCTGCTTCCTCCGTGTTGCGCCAACACGTTCTCTCGGAACCTAGGATACCGTTCATAAGGGTACCACCACAAGAATCATTCAGGGCTGACTGCGACCTTCCCACAATGCATAACGCAAGAAAGGAGGCTGTCGAATGCATACTATGTTTTGTCTTTCGTAGACAACATATTCAAGATAATCAAAACGAAGAACCGCCCATCCCCCAATACATGCACGTATTATTGGACGTTTGACATGACCGCAGGATCTTGGCAGCCGCATTGGTGGGGAACGCCTCCTGTCCGGCAACAACGATCATGGTCATGGAGGAGGGGCCGACTACTCCCGAGAGACGTACGAGGCCATCCAGGCCGACATCGTGTCCATGTTCGTCGACTCCAAGGACTTCTGGCCGGCCGACTTTGGCAACTACGGCCCTCTGTTCATTCGCCTTGCTTGGCACTGTGCAGGTAGGGACGGGCACACGTTTTGTGCCGTCGCGAAATCTTTCGGCGGCGTAGGTGAACAGGGGCTTCTATGTTGATCGCACCCGTAACCTGTGATGGCTGTAGGTGCCTGACCAAGTGTCGATAGAGGTTCAGAGGTCGTTGTTGGGTTGTTGTCTATGCGCGAGACATCGTGAAGTTACGGTTATTGTTGTTATCTCCAGCGAAAAGCGTGTGTCGAAAAGGGCAGCCGAAACAAGAGCCTAAACAAGCGTCAACGCCAATGGTTTCGTCCCATTTAAGCGCATCAGTTTGATGACAATTTCTACGGAGTGCAGTCAAAGACATCCTACACACACTTGCCGAAAGCTACGGTCCATCACCGCCTACGTGCGTCCGCAGGCAGCTACCGCGCTTCCGACGGGCGAGGGGGCTGTGACGGCGGTAGGATCCGCTTTTTCCCGGAACACGGGTGGGCCGACAACACCAACCTGGACAAGGTGATTACCCCGCCTCGCCTCGCAGTTGGCTGATTGTTCCGCACGTCATTACGTTTTCAGAACGGATGAACACTGTCTAGCGAACTCTGGACACAACACAAGCGTCCCTTCCCCCCCCATCGCACGTGGACTTGGGCGGCACCCCCAACAAGTCAGGCCCTGACCCTCCTTCAGCCCATCAAGCTCAAGTACGGCGACGCGATCTCATGGGCCGACCTCATCACGCTGACGGGAGACATGGCCATCTCGAGTATGGGGGGTCCCATCCTTGGATTCTGCGCTGGAAGGCAGGATGATGACTCCGGTTACGACAGTCTCGAGCTCGGCCCAAGTCCCGAACAGGCGCGTGGTTCTATTGAGGGGACCATCCCAAATATTTTCATGTTCTTGGAACACGACGTGCTACAGCAATGTAGAACATCTGTTTTTGAACGGACTCATTCCGGTGCCGCCCTGGCCGGAGGCCAAAACAAAGCGGTCCATGCCGTTCGTTATTTCGATAGCGTCTCTTGACGTAGGGCTGCTTGCCGAAACCTGTAACACTAGAGAACCATGGATGTCCTCGTCTTGTCGTCTGTTGCGAGCCTAACGAATCAGCCGACGATGTCCACGCGTTTTTGTGCGTCCGAGGGTTTGTCGATATCGCGTTTGTGGTGCTCGGTGACCCGTGACAACGCAAACAGCCCGTGTTCACGACATGCTTGTGTCGATCGACACCTGAATAGTTCTAGTTGGGTGGCAACTCAAGTTCCCTGCGACAACAACCGTGAACAAAATACACCTCGAGCAGGAGGCGACCGCTCCTTGCGCCGTGAACGGAACGTGCGAGCTTCCCCTCGGCACCAGCACGGTGGGGCTCATCTATGTCAACCCAGGTACCACGATTTTTCCGCTGCTGCCCGCGAAGCGACCCATCATGAATATCAAAAACCACCAACTGCCTTGTGCCATTGCGCACGAGCCGTTGAGGAGCGTGAAGCGGTAAACAGCGAGTATTGATGTTTGTACGTTTTTGTAAACCTTGACCCGGAGAACCGCAAAAAACACGCGTTCGTTGCCCTTCCACCCAGGCGGACCAATGGGCGTCCCTGATCCGGAGGCCAGTGCGCCGGAGATCCGCGAAGTCTTCGCGCGGATGGGCATGAACGACACCGAGACCGTGGCTCTCATCGGCGGAGGGCACGCGTTCGGCAAGTCCCATTAGCCTACTCCAAAGGGTAGATGCAGGCTTTTAATCCCGCTTTCCTCTACGCTTACCCCCCAGAGCTCTGCCGTAGACGGCGACGCACGCACAATATTTCCTCCGACATTTTCGCCTGTTGTTGCGTTCCTGCGATGTTCGGTTCTCGGATCCTGATGTCACTCCTGCCGACGGGATGATTCACAGGAGCAACGGCACCGAAGCACGACGACGCTGAGGGCATAACCTTGGCGCATCACGTGGAAAAACAATGTTCCGATTCCATGGACGCATTTCTGGCAGCCGTGTCCCTCCCCGCACGTGGTGTCGTCGACCTTTCCGTCAGCGATTCATTTTCAAACGTGATTTGATTTTCAACCAAGAAAGCTGTTCCCCGGTCTACAACACTACACCGCTGGGGATTGGCCGCGTCGCCTCTCATTCCCGTACTCCACTAGCGCCGTCTCTCCCCTCATGACTATGACTGATGGCGTGCCTTCAGCTAAGCACCCGCTACAACCGCGACAACCTGCTTGCCCCCACGTACACTGGTCGTCCCCCGCTCGATATCCACAGGAAAGATGCACGGGGCATGCCCCACCGGTCCTGGCCCCGACCCCTTCGACGCCCCCGAGGCCCCCTGGCCCGGAACCTGCGGGGACCCCGATTCCGCCACCTTCGGGCGCGCGGAGAACACCTTTACCTCCGGCTTTGAGGGGGCTTGGACGGAAGCTCCCACGGTACGCCGCGCGCGGCTGCGGTACACCGTACCGGTAGTTTGAACGCGGGTAAAAAAGAAAGGCAAAAACGCCGCCCAGGAGTTATCTACCAAGGATGTACGAAACAAGCATGACTTGTCTTGTAACGGCACAGCAGTAATGATTTCTGAAGACGGTCCGTTTGCTCGGGGTGGTGGCGTGTCCTGGCGGACGTTGCGGACAGCTCATCGGTTTTCACTAATAAAGAAAAAAATTTGAGCTGAAACTCGGGTTGTGCTGCTTCTCGTCGGAAGGTTTCACGGCGTCTCTGTTGCTGTTTTATTATTGTTCGGGTGTGACTTGGCATCCTACTGAACAACAAGCGCGCACGTGCTCGTCTGGCATGACCTATGCATGGCTAGATAACTCCTGCCCGGCCGTGAGCGGGCACAACGCCTGATTCCGATGACGTCATGATTCCTGATCCTCTAGCCCTCGGCGGTCTCGATCGCCTTGTCGCTGATTCTTTCCGCTTTCACGCTTCTGTATTGAAGGTATGGGACAACAGTTACTTCGTCGACCTCCTCGAGTATGACTGGATTCAAGCCGAGAGCCCCGCCGGCAACATCCAGTGGATTCCCGTCCTGAAGGAAGGCGCCACCGAAACCGACGTTCCAGACATCATCATGCTGACTTCGGACGTCGCCCTGCTGATGGTGAGGGCGAAAAATGTCGTTCCTGCAATTAATTGTAGGACTTCGACGTGAAACCAATCGTGACGGACGACCCGCGTACCATCCCGTGCTTTCTGGTGCGTGAAACCTTGTTTGGATGCTCTCGTCCGTTCGTTGAGCTATTCGTCAGAACAAATTCTCCGTTGTGTGACTACTGCCCCAAAGAATCAGTATGTGGTGTGTACAGAATACCACGGGCCACAGCTTTCCACTCATGAAAGCTACCGTGAGGCTAGCGCAGCGTTGGCAATGCTATCTACCGCTTCACCTGATGGCATTTCGTGCTACGGGAATGCGCGTAACCAGACATTGCCAAACTCGTTCACTGTCTCCTCGATTGACAAGCGCAAGGTGGGACTGTGCATCACACGTACATATAGTCTAGGGGGGGATCGTCGATTTCTCCTCTTCCATGGGCCGAAGTCTCGTTTTCCTATCCAGGCCCTGCCACGAAACCAACAGGGGGTCGTTCGTAAATTTAGAGCCAACGTCTCGTCATGGGAACCCTAGCTCCCACGGCCTGACAACTCCTTCCTTCCCACTCGTCCGCCATGGCGCACCACCGAAACAAGCGGGGGAGTGACTTGAGTGAGATAACCCTGAAGCTCCTGCTCGAGCATTTGAATCACGCCGTATTCGTTGTGACAGCGTCGTTGTCCACGCAAAGACAGCCCGTCGTGTTTTGTGTTGCCCAACACAACCTTCGCGCGCCACTGCAGGACCCCGAGTACCTTGCTATCGTGGAAGAGTTCGCCGCCGACCAGTACGCCCTGGACGTCGCCTTCTCCAACGCCTGGTAACGCCCACACGAGGGACTTCAGTAGCACAAAACACGCGGAATAAACAAAAATGAAGCATCTGGAACACCTCTAGAACGATCACCCCGTGCTCCGTTCTCGGCTCTTCAGACTGAGTGTGTCTATAGGAAAGGTCTCCAAGGAATCTTCTCTGTCTGTGGGTACCATTTTCAGAAGCACGGAAGCTACAAATGTAGCGTGAGACTTTGTGGTGGACAGCAGGAAAAGTCGACCCCGGTTGCCTTGTGCGGCTTGGTTTCCAGCTTTCACCGTATGGTGTTCTACGGTATACATACATCTTCGTCGACGAGAGATACCACTTGACGCAGTATCGGAGGAGCAACGCTCCGCCTAACTTCCCATCGACCATGTAGACAAAAACCATTGATGCAACACGAAAGTTCCGCTACCGCTTGTTTTCTCGTGGGTCTCCGTTGGAACGTTTCCCTCGGGACAGGTACAAGCTCGTCACTCGCGACATGGGCCCGCACTCGCGCTGCGTCGGCACCGATGTGCCCCCCCCGCAAGATTTCCAGCTCCCGCTTGCCGACACGCCGAGAGACCTCCCGAGCTACTCGGGGGCCAAGAAAGCGATCGGCCACATCCTCTCGGAGGAGTCGACGTACGCCCCCCGCTTCGTGACCCTGGCCTACCAGTGCGCGTCTACCTTCCGGTCTACCGACTACATGGGAGGCTGCAACGGCGCCAGGATCAGGTTCCCGCCCCAGAGCGAGTGGGCTAGCAACGCGGGGCTGAGCACGGTGAGTGTCTCGCAACTACTGTAGGTCCACCTGTTATATAGAGTGATATATGCGTCGCCGAGCGATATCTTTATCTCCTCTTCAGTATCGAGTGCCGGTAGGGTGCGTCAATCAGCATGTGACTTTGGGCTTTGCCTGAAGGGGTCAACGAGGTATATCAACCCCAAGGGAGTTGGGAGACAAACCGCATTCGGATACATGCTATCTCAACCAGGTGTTAGGCTAGGCTTACTTGGGCACCAAGACACGCGCCGCCTCTCTCTGCAACCTCCTCATCAAGTCCACCTTCCTTCCGTTCGCCCCCATCCCGCTACATCCCGTCGCACGTCCCAACCATGCTGCGTAGGTGCTGGACCTGCTGCAGCCCGTGAAGGACGAGTACCCGGACATCTCCTACGCCGACCTGATCGTCCTGGCCGGCCATGTCTCTCTCAAGCAGGGGGGCTCTGTCCCCAACCTCTCGTACTGCAAGGGTCGCGTCGACGCGGAGAGGGACGACCCCAACAACTCCCTCCTCTCCGTGCTCGAGCCCACTCGCGAGTACGACGGCGTCATCGTCGGAGTGCGCGACCGCATGAAGATTGCCGGCCTCTCTGTGAGTGCTCAAATCTGCTTTGTTCAAAGAGGGCGTGCTTGGGTCCGAGAAAGGCTGTTGCAATGCGTAGATAGCCGTGTTTCTTGCGGGGCGTCTACCTTGGAGCTGTATGACGGGGGGTATCTTGGGTATACAACTTGATCGATTTCATCCGAAGTCGGGTTTATGAGGAAGTGACGGTTTCGTTTTCATACGCAACACACAGCCAGCCGGCGTGATGGATTGTGCGGGATGGTGCTTGCTCCACACGTTTGTCTTCGTAGTATGGTCTCATTCCCCGGTGAAAATCGCTGTTCCGTCTTCGTGCCCGAGCAGGTGGCGCAGATGGTGGCGCTCGCGGGGCGCCCTCGCAGTTCTTCTTTGATGACCGACCTTGGGTACAGCGGCTCCTACACGGAAGATGACGCAGGTGCGTGTTGGGCCTGTGTCGATGCTCTGTTTGGGTGTGGAAAAAGTTTGTTTATTTGTGGCAGTTTCACCGTTTAACTGATTTCACTGTACTTTGCAGCGTGCACGTGAAAAGGTGCGGCAGTTCCATGTTCGACCCAGCCTTCTTGATCCCATCCTGATTCCTGTCGCAACGTTCGTGGTTGTGGGTATCTTTTGTCTGATGGATGGAAGTTCGTTCTCCAGGAATCAACCCGCTTGCGACAATATTCGTGACAAACTGGATGACTACATGAACTCGAACGTTTTTCGGGCATGCGCGTATCAAGACCGTGTCCGAACCCATACCGCCCCCGTGCCGTAGCTTCAGTACTGTGGTACTGCCAAGAACGCGGCTCGTTTCTAAACCCGTGTTTGCTTGACAACCCCTACACGGTTACCGGCATCGTCAGTCCTGTCGAACACCCTCTACACCCTCCTGCTCACCGAGGACTGGGAGGAGGTGCCCGGGATGGACGGCAAGGAGTACCAGGCCGTCGGCAAGTCGGGCGTGTACGTCCTCGACACGGACCTAGCGCTGGTCTGGGACCCAGAGTTCAAGGCCCAGTCCATCCTGTACGCGCAGGACAACGACTACTTCCGCCACGAGTTCGGGTCTGCTTGGACCGCTCTGATGAACGCTGATCGATTCGACGGACCCACCGGAAGCATGTGCGACCACTAGTAAGCATGTCGACGTTTCCTTCTCCTATCGGGGGTGCCCAGGCCACCCTTAGCGCCACCTGTGCGATTACAAAGGGTTTCTTCTCTCGACACCGAGGTCGATACGGCGGCGACTTCGTCAGGGGCGTGTGCGAGTACATCTCTTGTATATATTAGCCTGTACCGTTGGCGTGAATGTACCAGTAGGACTTATANACAAAGGGTTTCTTCTCTCGACACCGAGGTCGATACGGCGGCGACTTCGTCAGGGGCGTGTGCGAGTACATCTCTTGTATACTAGCCTGTACCGTTGGCGTGAATGTACCAGTAGGGCTTATTTCGAGCGCCAAGCCGTGCTGGCTTGGGCTGGTTGAGGTTGGGTCCGACGACCTCGATCGGCAGAACACCTGAACGGGCTCGGGGTTGTTCAGGGGATGACGTTAGCTGTAGAACAGATGCTAGTCTGACTGTCAAAGGAGCTTGCAGAGTGGTATAGAGTAGAGGCGGGTATTACAGGCCACTTAAGCCACCCCCTGTGCTAGGAGCTCGTTCTTGAGCAGGAAATCGAACTTCGATGATATTGTGGTATCGAGCGATAGGTAAGATCACCCCCCGCCTACCTAAAGAACATGAAAAAGAAAATCGTTGACAGTGAGAAGGTAGGGCTGGCGCCGTAGACCTGAGCTGCAGGCGCCATTTCGAGAGAATATTACCCCTGGGGGTATTAAAGGCCACTTTCATCATTGGTTGATTTCGTACGATTGAAAGCGCGTTTCAAGACCCAAGATTCGGTGGGAGGCATGCGTAAAATACAATAGCAATGAAAAAAAGGTAAGAACANGGTATTAAAGGCCACTTTCATCATTGGTTGATTTCGTACGTTTGAAAGCGCGTTTCAAGACCCCAAGATTCGGTGGGAGGCATGCGTAAAATACAATAGCAATGAAGAAAAGGTAAGAACAAAACTGATCGACATCCGGGGAGGAAAATGACGTATCTCTGGGTTTTCGACGCTATGGGTAGGGATGGTTTTTCCCTCCGTGACCTGTATTGCGTGCTCTGTGCGTTCGAAACGAGGCAGAACAACCAATTTGGTGCATAAATGTGTTGTTCCAGTCAGTAGACGACTCGAGAAAAAAAATCACGACGAAATGAGTAGTCTACGTAAAATGGTGCTTGGTCAAATATGAGTACCTGATTTAGCATGCCGCCATGTTTTGGAAGAAATTGGAAATGNGTTGCGTGCTCTGTGCGTTCGAAACGAGGCAGAACAACCAATTTGGTGCATAAATGTGTTGTTCCAGTCAGTAGACGACTCGAGAAAAAAAATCACGACGAAATGAGTAGTCTACGTAAAATGGTGCTTGGTCAAATATGGGTACCTGATTTAGCATGCCGCCATGTTATGGAAGAAATTGGAAATAAAAGGGGGAGGGAGCAAGTTCGTTGCTCCTGGCTTCGGGTACTCACAGTTGTTGTTTGATCTCTTGTTTTAGTCTTCTTAGACCAGGTCCGCTCAGCGCCCAATCGGAGAGTGAGGCAGCGGGGCTGGGATTTTGATCTTCCTTCAAGCTATTTCAATACCCCTCGACGACGCCAACTAGACTATCCATATCAAGAAAATTCAAAGTATCCAATAAGCGCTCATACAACGTTCATGAAACGCTCGTACAATGCTCATACACTAGTTGCTCCATTCCATTAGCCCACCCCGGGAAGTCGTAGATGCAGATACTTTATCTTCAATCCAATACTCAACTTCNACGCTCGTACAATGCTCATACACTAGTTGCTCCATTCCATTAGCCCACCCTGGGAAGTCGTAGATGCAGATACTTCATCTTCAATCCAATACTCAACTTCAAACAAAGATCGAAGATGCGACTTTCCAAATCAGACAAAATATGAAAAAAATAAAAGCAACTAGGATCGGAGAAAATAGTTCATCCCCGACAAATACTCCTAACCATCCCCACACCACACAGTGATGGCTACCAAGAACCACATCACCAACGACGGAACCAGTCTATTATCAAAACGGGGTTCGGTCGTGGCGAAAGCGCGAAGGTCGGGGGAACTATTGTAACGATAGAAGAAGGTCACACTACGTTGTACCCAAACACGCGTTTAGCGTACCACTGCGAATGACGCATAAAAAAAATCACGAGAAACAGAAAAATATGTAGCGGCTCGAAGGCGGCATGCTATCAAAGCACAGATCCAGATGGGGCAGCAGCTCGCTGTGCCATAACGCCTGGTGTTCGCGACGTCACGCCATCATCCGTGGAATGGTTGGTCAAACCACGAGTACGGTGTTTTTTGCAAGCACCAAGAACCGCAAGGAGCATCCAAAACCGTGGAGTATTTACGCTCCGGGAGAGACAGCTGTCGGGGACCGGGGGTGGGTGTCCAAAAATCGAACAATGTACTGGCCTGTTGCGGNAGAAGGTCACACTACGTTGTACCCAAACACGCGTTTAGCGTACCACTGCGTATGACGTATAAAAAAATCACGAGAAACAGAAAAATATGTAGCGGCTCGAAGGCGGCATGCTATCAAAGCACAGATCCAGATGGGGCAGCAGCTCGCTGTGCCATAACGCCTGGTGTTCGCGACGTCACGCCATCATCCGTGGAATGGTTGGTCAAACCACGAGTACGGTGTTTTTTGCAAGCACCAAGAACCGCAAGGAGCATCCAAAACCGTGGAGTATTTACGCTCCGGGAGAGACAGCTGTCGGGGACCGGGGGTGGGTGTCCAAAAATCGAACAATGTACTGGCCTGTTGCGGAACTACTAGTTTGCCCAATCCACCAAAGTCCATCCAAAGTTTTGTACCAAATGTGGGCTCCGACAGGTAGAACGGAAACAGAGAGCCAACCAAACATCACGCGAGACCAACTCGTACCCGGGAACAATGAAACGTTCGGCCTGATTCCGAGCAAGTTCTCGGTCGGCCGAAGCTATCCGAGCATTACGATAAGCTCGGTTCCCTTGTACGCGCTGACTAGCGTTACCAGACCAGAAAAGCAAGATGTGTTTTCTGTATTCCTGCAAGTCGGACTCCCTTTCCCACGACGGCATAATTGAGCGAAAGCTTCGCTTTGAGCACCAAATCATCGGTGTGTTTCCGCACACCCTGCCGAATAGTAGCGGCGGAGTTGTAGACCCAAACCCAACCACCAACGTCATATTTCGGTATCTGACGCAAACCGTCCAACAGTGCAGAGCTCCGGCGTTGGATACGCCACAACGTTATCGCATGCTGTTCCCGCACCAAAGCGTAGGCTCGTCTCTGGTNCATCGGTGTGTTTCCGCACACCCTGCCGAATAGTAGCGGCGGAGTTGTAGACCCAAACCCAACCACCAACGTCATATTTCGGTATCTGACGCAAACCGTCCAACAGTGCAGAGCTCCGGCGTTGGATACGCCACAACGTAATCGCATGCTGTTCCCGCACCAAAGCGTAGGCTCGTCTCTGGTGTTCCACCGCAAGGTTGCAGAAAGCGAGCTGGTCTCGATCCAAACTTTGATGGCCACCCACGCTAGGGTGGTCCAGAACAGAAAGCGGGGACGGGGCAACCGTCCAATATGCACTTCATTCGGCGCCGAGCATGTGGCGGTGTTTACCGAGTTGTTGTATGCAAACACTACATGGGGAAGATGGACGTCCCAATCGTCCTGACGCTCATTGACCACAACAGCGAGCATTTGAGCCATGGTGTGGTCTACACGCTCCGCCCCACCGTTAGTTTGGGGGTGGTACGAACTGGTGGTGACTTTCCTGATGTTCATCAGCTCGTAAATAGCCATGGACAGCTTGGAACAAAATTGCATGCCGTTATCCGAAAGAAGAGTCACCGGACAACCCCACAACGTCATGTAGCGGTTGACGAAAATGTTGGCCGTTCCCTTAGCGGCAAATTCCGCCTTGGTAGTGGCATACATATCCGCCCGTCGACTGAAACGGTCTGGAAACAAAAGTATATATGCGTTCCCACGGGACGTGACCGGCAATGGCCCAAAAAAATCGACGCTTACTACAATACCCGGCCCATTCGGGAGGGGCAGAGTGAGCGTAGGCCAGCGATACTAGGGCAACCGGGAAAGAAAATCCGCATTGGCGTTGGCAGTGCCTTTGCGGTAGACAAGGGTGTATGTAATTGAACCAGGAAAGAAACTCGAGAAAACGTTGAACGCGGGAGTTGTGTTCACCCACCTTGACGATGCTTGCCAAAGTCTCGTGGTCCGAATAAATCAGAAAGTGCGTACACCAAAAGTAGCCGCGCAGGCGTTTGATTGCCCACACGATACTTCCAGCCTCCAAGTCGAGCACGGTCCAATTGCGCTCGGATTCGAGCGTAGCGCGGCTAACGAACAGAATCGGGCGAACGGAACCATCGGCCTGTTCTTGTTCAAGAGCCGCACCAAAACCATCCACACAGGCGTCACAGCAAAGCCGGAGAGGGCGGCTGCCACCCGCGACAGCGTCCTAATCCGGGAAAGCCAAAACCGGAGATTCGGACAGTTTCGCCAAGAGTTTCTTGACAGTGTCCGCCATAGCCGGCGTATAACAAAACTTTGCGTCCTTACGCAAAAAAAGGTCGGTGAGTGGTTTCACGCGCACGGCCAAACCCTTGATGAATTTGCGGTAATACGAAAGCCCACCCAGCAAGAACGAAGGTGCTTGACGTTATTAGGCAGCGGCATTTTTGGGAGGGCTTCGACCTTATCGGCACGAGGACTAACACCCGCGGGCGAGATGGTGTGGCCTAAATAGACAGCCTCCTTAGCGCCGACGCGACTCTTGAGAGGAGAAAGCTTTAGGTTGTACTTGCGCAAACGCTCCAAAAATAACCGCATATTGGCGACATGATGGACGGTGTCGGCGTCAAACACAATCACATCGTCTAGGTATGCAAACACATGGTCCAGACCTTTAACCACTTCGTTGATGACCATAGTGAACCATGACGGTGCAACGGAGCTTCCCTGAGGCACACGGCCACTCGAAAAGTTGTGTGGGCGTGCAAAACGCCGTAAGCTGAACCGTGTCCTCCTCGACTGTGATCCGGTGGAAAGCGGAGTTTAGATCGAAAATGGAAAACACTTTGCCCTTGTGCAGGGAATCGATGATGTGGTCAACACGCGGCTGCGGTTGTTGGCCAAGGCTGCACAATGTGTTTAGTTTTTTGTAGTTCACGGTCAAACGCAAGTTGCCGTCCTTTTTAGGCATGAAAACCAGAAGGCTCGCCCACGGCGATTCCGAGTGCTGGATAAGACCGGCAGCAAGGTCTTGATCGAGAATTGCATCGACCTTCTTCTTCACCAGAGGGTTGAGCCTATAGGGACACGAGGCCAACGGTTTCGCGTCCGCGGGCACTTCCAAACGAAACGGTTTCACGGAACAGCAACCGAAATCGGACGGTGACCGCTAAAACACAACCGAAAAGTCACACAGCACATCCGCCAGGCTGTTGGTGGCTTCCGGGGTCCAACCCGAGTCGTGTAAGTCAAAGTGACATCGTGCAAATGTGCAGGCAAACGTTACCACAACTGGTCAGAGGTAGCCATGATTTTGGCATAAAGCGGCATCACCGCCGAAAGTGCGGGCTTTCTCCGCCATCATGAACTGTTCACCGCACACGTAGCGAATGCCATGGACCGAGAACTCACAGGGCGTCCAATTAGACAGAAAGGACGGCGGTTTCCGAAAGAGGAAAACCTCATCGTTGTAATATTCCTGACTTCCATCAAAAACAGGGGCCTGCCGCGCCGGTGCTCCGGCAACCGGCAGGACAATCTGGGTGCCACCCGAAGGCGGGTCGGATTGTGAGGTTCGAGGCGAGGCAGGCAAAAGCGGTAAACCAGCCGCAGAAGCATGCGAAACCAAGCGGTCTACGCGGGCGTTTTCGCGCAAAACGTCGGCGTAGGCCTGTTCATTAAAAGCGGCCTTCATCGCGGGCGCTCGACCAACATGGCCAGCGGCCGCGGGAGGCTCGGGACCGCTATTTCGTGACGAAGAACATGAACCTTCCGACTATGGGAAACCGTTACTTGCGCTCGGCAACGGTGGTGCAGTCAGCACCGTGCGACGTTGGTGCTCCGTAGAGGAACGTCGCGAGGGATCCGGAGGGGGCGCGGTGGGTACAAGCGTACTCGATCCACCGTGGCGGGCTTGGGGCTGTCCCAAAGATCCCTGTGCTTTCGCGTGGTTGACGAGGCCACCCGGAGCCGCCGAAACGGTGGGAGAAGCCGAAGAAGCCATGCCTCCGGGGGGCGTAGACATCGGGGCGAGCGGCCGCGAGACACCCGAAGTCTTGTCGGCCCCCCGCCCCTGTGTGAAACGAACATCTTGGAAACTAATCGTACAGCGCACACCCGATGCTGTTGACGGCGATGTGTGCAAAAGGCCGTCACCGGCGTGTCAGTTACCTGGCGAGTACGAGGTTCCGGAACTCCGAGTATGCGGAGTTCCAGGAACGGCGGCGGACGCCGAGGCCGCGGCGGCGTCGACGGCCGGCGCCGGAGGGTGTGTGTGTGTGTGTATGTTTGAGCGATGTTTCCCAGAGCGGCGGCCGTCGCCCTGTGCATGGCCACTGCTCTTACCCAGGTTATTATCATTGTGCACACGCGGGCGGTGGGAATTCATGCAGCTCTGCCAACGTTGAAAAACTTTGACGCTATCAGCATGCGAAGCAATGGCCGGGTTTAAGAGGCCGGTGTAATTGGTGAAAGCATAAGGGCATGTTTTGAGGCTGTGTCCCGCCTGCCCGCAGTTTAGACATTGGCCGGAAAATTGCCGCAGAGCTTGTGCTTGGTCGGCGGGTGTCAACAGCGGTGTGAATAGAGGGGGGTCCATGTTTGCCATACTCACCACGACGCTGTACACAAAGCCGTAGTGACCACGCAACGGCCAGCAGTCATAGTCCTGTTCGAAGGGACATGTGTTATCGGACGGCACAGGGTCGATGGCCATCACCCCGGCGGGAAATTGTGGTCCCGGCGACCACCCGGACGGCTGCAGCGGCGACGGCGGTGGCGGCCGCTGCTGCCCCACGGTCGCGGTCATGGCTCGTGTAGGCGCCGATGAAAAACCCAGAAGTGACAGTGGTAAAATGGCGGTCGCCATTGCAGGCGGGCGAATGTTTTAGTGCTTCCTCCGAAGACAACGTATCCCAAAGCTCATCCTGATCACTAAACACTTCGTTATGGAGAATTTTATCCTTCAACGGCAAAGACGAGAGAATATTCGGATACTGCTCCAACAAAGCGTCCCGAAGCGCACGCTGTACCATGCGCAGATCCGGCGCGAAAGCTCTGTGCGAGGCCAACTCCGACATTGCCAACGCCTTAAACTTCGTAACGAATTTGCTGTACGGCGTGCCGTTGGGCACACCAAGAACCTGCAGCTTGTCGATGCCCCGGTTGAAACCTTTCGGTTCCCACTCATCCGCGAGCAGCTTGAGCAGCCGACGGTATGCCGACGGCCCTGACTTGTTTTTCGTCTCCAAGAAGCGCTTCTGAGAAGACGAAGAATCCACCAATTCGCGGGTTGCGGCATTGGCGCCTTGAGGATTCGAAATGGCCATGAGGACACGCTTATGGAAGGGAGCATACCATCCAGCCACCCATGTGGGCGACTTGATGGCCTGCTTTCCGGAGGGATCAGCGGCCGACAGGATTTCAGCCAACAAACTTTCGGTCGAACGAACGAAAGCAGAAAATTCTGCCGGAGGAAGCGGCACCACCGCAT